TAGTCTGTCAAGCATTTCAACTGCGAACAGATGTGAACATTTAGTGAAACTGAAAGTAAACAAAAGCTAACATAATCTAACAGTTACAAAACAAGAATGTGATTGATAACAAAACTTTGGAAAAAGCTAATTTTACAGAAATAAAATACAGAAACACAAACTTTTCAACTTGCACTGCCCTTTCACGTAAATTAAAAAATTTCCAAATTACTGTCACAGATCTGTGAGGAACATCCCCCCGACACACAAAACCTTCAGCAGATACTTGTACAAATACCCAGGTTTTCATGAAAGAAACTTGCCCATTCAGATGTTTTAGTAAACAGCAAATCAATCAGCATTTGAAACAGAATCAATGTATACATACTGCACTACAAAATATTTATTCAGAAATGTATGCTTTTGAGAAAACTGTTTATGCAATTGTGTGGCTAACATTGCAAGTATGCTAGGCCATTTTTGATTAAAACAGGTCTTTTCAGAAACAGGAAATGTTTCTCACATGCCTATGCTGATTCCCTTATTCAAAACTAAGATTGCATTTCCCATAGATTTTTACCTACTGGGGGACCATAAGTCAATACTGAGGAGGCAAAGCAAGCAAGTACAGGTAGTCCTTGACTTACGATCACAACTGAGCCCAAAAGTTCTGTTAAGTGGCGTTTGCCCCATTTTACGACCTTTCTTGCCACAGTTGTTAAGTGAATCACTGCAGTTGGTAAATTAGTAACCTGGTTAAGTGAATCCAACTTACACACTGACTTTGCTTGTGAGAAGGTCCTAAAAGGTGATCACATGACCTTGGGACTCTTCCACCCTTTTAATGACCTAATAATTACCTGCAGGAAGGGGACTGATTTTTCTCATCAAATATCTGAACTGCTTTACTTATTTGAAACATGTATACAGTATCCCATCTTACCCAAAGCCACTCTAGGCACCTCACAAGAATCAGAAAGAAACCACAGATATAAAAAGAGCAAACAGCTTACTTGTAAAAGGCTTCTGAAATTAGCTGAAGGGTTCCACATGAAGTTGGAGTTTTATAGTTTCCCATTCCTAGATTACACAGACCGACTCAAGGGAAGAGTTCAGAATCTAGAAAATAATTTACGTCTTTTGCCCTTTTAAGCACACTGATACTTTGACTCTAGTGTAGCACTCTTGGAAAATGTAATAATATACCTATTTGTTGGAAGAAGGGGGAACTTTGTTAGACTTGGATAGGGTAGAATAGACTTTGTGAGACTAAGAGAGATAATGTACAGAACACATAGTGGGGAATAGGATAAAAAACAATAAGACAACTTTTTTTTCTTCCTAGCATTTTTCTGCAAGTGCAGGGTATACTTTTTTCCAGATCAAACTTTCCTTCTCCTTTGTCACCTATATGAAAAGTATGACCCAAATGATTCATATACAATCACTTACACTGCCACACAAAAATCTAAAATGAACTCAATACTCATGAAGGCTCTAAGAACTGTAGCTCTCTGATCAGGATTTTGATCCAAAATTCTAGCATAATTACCAATTGCCAAGCCTTATGATGTTTGGGAGATATCCCATATCATTATTCACATACAGAAAAACACTGAACCTTTGAAATGACATTATTGAGAATCATGTTAATAGTTGAGACAAAAATTTTGTTAGTTCTATTCTCTAACTCTGTTTTTAACCTAAACTTGTATTTAAGTTGAAACTCATACTAAAAGACTGCCTATTACTAAAAATGGCAGATAGCATGGTCCTTCCTCAAGTGTACAAAGCACTGAAAATGTGCTTTCTGGAACCACTGAAAACTGTTAAAAACAGGCTAAATATTTAAAACGTGTAGCTTCAGTGGTTCCTGAAAGCTTTGTACACCTTCAGCACTTCATCAAGCCCAAGGAAGGACAAGGCCACCTACTATTTAACAGACAGATAGTTTGTGTCTAAGAGTTATTGTTAAGTTGGATATTCTTAACCTGGGGACTGCCTGCACATGAAATCTTTTTCGGGTCTCAAAATGGTGGGAAAACCTGCTGCACAGTTTTCAGCAATGTTTGCAGGTGCTTCAGCTGCCACAAAAATTGCCTGAGGCCTCAGGCAGCACTGGGGTTGCAGACTGTTACAAACGTACCATACATACCACCATACATCAAAATATTTTCTACTTCCGGACTTCCAGTTTGCAGAGCTTCGGCGGCAGGCAGGAATCCGCAATCGTGCGCGGTTTCTGCCTGGGCTCGCCACTGAAGCGCCCCGAGCCAGCTAGCTTCGGGGCTAAGCCACCCCGTAGAGGTGGTGAAGACGGGGGAGACCCAGCAGGGTTGAGGGGAGCCGCATCTCTCCTCCTCAGCTGGCTAAATCCCTTTCCTGAAGGCGGTAAGAGCGGCGGTCAGAAATGGCCGCCTCAAAGAAGCACTCAACCAGAAAAGAAAGTGCAGGAGGAAGTTAAGAAGTGAAAGTTTTGGCTCACCGGGATAAGAAGCAACAATTAAGGTATCCTGGAATTTAAATTTTATAAAAGTTACATCGCTCCCAAAGAAGACTCAGAAGCAGCAAATGAAAGTGAAAAGGGAAAGTTTTTTTTTCACTCTCCTTCCTTACGTTGACAGCGAAGAGAGCTGAATGAGAAATCGGAAAAATCCGCTTTGGCACCAATAGGTAATTAAACTGGAAATAATTAAATGCCAAAGGGACAATAAAGATTTCTGAACATTAAAAAATTCTCTTTTTTTTGCTATAAGTGGGAAGGGAGAGGAAAAGAATAAGGGTAGGATTTGAAAGGAGGAGTCTGCCTGGAATTTAAAAGAATCTAAAGTTAAATCTTAATAAGACTTCTAAAAGATACAGTTTAACTGGAACTTTGCAACTAAATAGTAACCCCAGGAAGAGAAAGTGAAAAAAGAAGAAAGTGTTAAAAGAAACAGCTTGTCTGTATTTGGATTGTTTGGTGACTTTGGGACTTCTGAAAATTATATTTGAATGACTAAAAACAATTGGGTGGTTGTTTAAAAAAATTCTACAATGGCATCACTTGTGGATGAACTGAAAATGGAATTTAAAAAATATAAAGAAGAGGCACAAGAAGGGAAGGGCTCTTTTGGCTCCGTTTTTCAATTCTTAGAAATGGTGATCTGTACCTATGAGAAACTACAAGAAAAGACTGCGCAACAAGAAGATTGGGACAAAGAAGAAGCCATCTTTAATGAACAAGTAACTTTATCTGGGGAAGAAAGGGGAAAGGGGGGAAAGAGAATGGAGAATTTAAGACCTAAAAAAACAGCCAAAAAAGGGAAGAATAATGCGAAAAGTGGATATAATGTTAGAAAGCAACAGAAAAAGGGAATACAGAAGAGTGAAATGGAGGTGGAGAGACAAGGGGGTAAAAAGGGGAGAGAGAAGAAGAAAGGGAAGAAGGAAGGGAAGAGAAGTTACAAAGGTTTGGAGCAAGATGTAAAGAAACAGGACTTATTCAGAGATAATGGGTGAAAATTTAACTGAAAAAGGGATTCTGTAAAGGTACATATGATTGTATTGTTATATTTGTATTAGAAATAATATTAGAAAATTGGAAACAACATATGACTAAAAAGTGGGATAAAACGGTCAGTGTAATTCAGTGAAACTTTTGTGACCAAAATAAATGAAATGAAATAAATGAGAGAATTGAATTAGGAAGGAATGGGAACATTTTAACTACTCAATGTTTTATAAAATATAAGGGAAGTGAGGGGGGAAGTAACTATGGAAAGTTTATAAGTCTTCCCATAGAAGTATGATATCTATTTGAAAAGTAATGTGTAAAATGTTTAAGATTTAAATGAATATTAATATTAATGATAGAATTGAATTGGTATGGATTGTTGTTTTAATTATATTATACATTTATAATTTTTTCCTTTTTTAAAATAGTGTGTAGTTTTAGAATGTACCAAGCAGAATCCGAATGGAAGTTATGTATTATATTAAGTGTTATAATTTTAGGGGAAAGATATAAAGGCGTCATACTCCAATCAGTGATTACAGGAGAAATTTTGTTTAATGAGAAAAGATAAATAGACAGCTGAAACAGGACAGACAAAGAATATAAGTATAATGATCTGAATTGAGATGAAATAAATAAAATAAAATTAAGAAAGTTAAAAGAGGGGAGAAGCTATATAGAAAACGTAGAATGGTAATAAGATATGGAATGGTATATAAAAATGAGCATGAACTTGAATTTGTCTGTACGAAGAGATGTAACCCGAGATCAAGCTGCTTTCAAAAAAGATGTTTTATGTTTTTATGTTTTATGTTTTGTTTGTTTATGTTTGTTTTTAAAAATCAATAAAATTTTCAAAAAAAAAATATTTCTACTTCCCAATGAAATGGAAGAGGCAGCATGTGGAAGATAAATTATAACAGAGCAATTAACTACAAGCCAAGTCAGTCTCCTGGAACCTATGAAGTTTATAACAAAATTTAGGGATAATTATAGCATGCTTTGTTCATAGCAGAATATTATTCAATTAAATTAACACTGTGCACCTAAGAAAAAGCTTCAGTGAAATCCTTCCAAGTACAAAATACACAACACATATAGGCTACTACTAGAAACAGAACATTTGACAAGATGGACCTTTGGGTCTGCTTGAGAAATCGTTTTTCTATATTCTTATGCAGAAGATTGTGCTGCCAATCACACTGAGTGGGGAAATCCTGGAGTGACAGGAAGATTTCCAACCATTTTTTTTAAAAAAACAAACCCCCGCATCCTTATATTTGAATGAAATATCCTTTATTATTTAATGATTACATTTTAGAATGGCTATTTGAAGTCAGTTTCTTGCTTTGAAACATCAATTTTTAAAAAGCTTTGGGTTTTAAGTGAAGGAATGTAAATGAATGTCGGTCCCCACTGGTTGTTATGAATATATAACTTGTTATTTAAAGAAAATAACATGTAGCGTAAAGCCTGTGAGTAGCAGATTCTGAAACCGTATCCAGGAGCCTATTCTTTTTCATACCTTTACTTTTGCATCAATGCCAGACTTCTCTATTCTCCATTGTGAGTCCTGCTTCTTCAGTTTCTCCAGGTCATTTAGCAGGTCAGCATAGCGTGTACTTAAACCCTCATTTTCCTCCTCCAGATTTTTTATAACTAGTCTGCTTTGCTTTTCCTTCCTCTCTGCACACTCCTTGGTGTCCTGTACAACAGTACCATGAGGGCCGATAAACAAAAAAAAAAAAGAGAAAATGTTTTTTTTAAAAAACTGAGAAGTAATCAGCAAATATAAACTATGCAGATTTTACCCTCACAGCAGCTTCTTGTATATTTGATGGCCAAGGTCACCTGTGTACTTTTTATTGGCCTCTTTCATGCAGGTGGAAGGGTCATATTTTTTAGCTGGATGACAGCTTTGATGAGTACACATTTGCAAAGAGCCCATTAATTGATCAAACTGCCTTTGATGGTGTCCCCAGCTATTTTTGAGACCTACACAGACATATCCTCCCAGACCTCAGCTTTATCAATTAATAATGCCAGTCCCATCAGAATCTAATTACATCAAGCCACATCTTCACACTCCTCCTTTCTTTGCTCCATTTCCATCATTAACTATTTATTGGAAAGTTATAAAGTGTGGATTCTTCACTTTAAGGAATCTTTTCTCTAGTTTGGCATGTGTGAGGAAACTGAAAGGTACAATCTAAGGCCTAAGGCTATATTTTCTCTGAGCTTGTCACTTTCCATGTCACAGAGACAGGCCAGCAACTTAAACAGCAACTTCAAAGTTATGGCTATCTTCCTACTATGTGTGAGTCAATATACCTTAAGTTCTTGCATTACATCTTGAGAGTTCTGTAAGGTGCAAAGCTCTTTTTTTAAGGCAGCATTTTCTTCATCCACAGCAATTTTCCTCTGTACCAGGTTGTTTATCTCCTCTTGTTGCCCACTTGTTCTCTAAGAAGGACAATTTAACATTTCTTAAATAAAACAGGTAAAGACTGTAACGTTCCAAAATAAAAGTTCAAGCTATTTATTTAATAAATCAATCATTCCCATTTGTTAGATCACCCAACTACAGACAACTCCAGGCAGCAAACAATGAGAAAAACAATATAAAAAATAACAAGCCAAGGAAAGAACAATGGATCACTTGGAAGGAAAAGCCTACAACCAGGTTGGCCATGCACCAACCCAAATGGATTCCACTAACCCTACTACAAGCCCTGGGGGAAGAGCCAGATCTTTAGAGTTTATATGAAGGAGAGCATGATAGGGATTATTTGACTGACTGAGAAGATTCGCTTCCAGGATTCCCATCAAAAGAAGGGACCCGCAGCATGCCAAGTATTTTGGAACAGACAAAATGACAGGCAGTCCTTCAAATAAACTTGAGTCATGAAAAACAGCTGTTTCATCTTACACCTGTACCTGCTTGCAGTTTTAGATTCAGCATGTAAATCTGTTTTGATGCTGAATAAATATCAATTTTAATATTATTTGATTACTGTATTCTCACTGGGCATATTAAAAGTATAAGATAATTGAAACTGCTGGCAATATTAGACATGTCAAATTTGCACAAATAAGAAACCCTGTAGTTTTACTATTAATTAACTATTATTATGAGATGCTTCAGAGCCAGATATTATAAGATAACTAGCCAGACCCAAGTGATATTCAAGTGATATTCAGACCCTTAATCTGTCCAAATCAGCAGAAGCCAATGGACAGCTTACATGAACCTAACTTGTGAATCCAAAATCTCATTTTAAAAAGGATGAAATATGATGGTCATCAACAAATGGAGAATCTGAGAGGTTGAACTAAATACTACAGAAATATTTAAAATGCTACCAATCCTGTCAGCTTGGTCTAATGATTAACGTAACTGGCTAGAAATCAGGAAACTTAAGTTTTAGTCCTGTCTCAGACATGAAAGCCACCTGGGCCATTCACTCTGAGTCTATAATACTTGGGTTGAGTGACAAGCTTATTAGTAAATTCCTGTTGCAACCAATGGATCAATACTTGGTTGAATTCCCTCTCTTCCTCCCTCCCTCCCTGCCTCCCTCCCTCAAAAAGTGACCTTGCTCTTGTGAGAAAATGCTAGGAAGAAAGTAAACTTGAGGTGCTATATCTCTTATCAATACAATTGGACTAAAATGTTGTAATTCAATACATTCTTTCACTAGCGTGTTTTTACTTTGTCATGGGTCAGGACTTAGGTAGAGACTAAAAAGAGGCTTCAGCAGAATCCATGGAATGTCAACCTCAGGAGATACAAAGCCAAGAATCACTTCAGGTTGATAAAAAACTGCCTAAATAGCTGTAGCAGTCAAATAAGGATGACATAAAGCTTTCCAGCCCCTACACCTGGCGATAAAGAGCAGAGCAGAGCTGTTATTTCAGGTTCTTGCCAAACAAGGGAGAATATCTTTTGATTAGTGGCGGATGACTACAGTCTAATTTAAGAGTCAGCCCTGACCCATGTTCCTTTGCTGGGGAAAAAAACCAACAATAGTGACAATATATGTAACTGGAGTGTAGGATGAGGGTAAAGGTTCATTCTCCAAGCTTGTGGGTTGGTTTCCAAACATTTCATTAGTAAGCTGGGAAACATCTTCAGCAGAATATAGAGGGTCAGTGTTCTTCTTTTATAAGGGCTTTGTGTGGTCAGTAGGTTTTGTGATGGTGAGGTCATGCCTGATGAGGTTCACATCAGGTCAGGGACTTGTGGTGGGTCTTGTTATGGGTCAAGTGTGGATTACAAGTGAGAATCTTACGATGGGGAAGTTACATCAAGTGAGGCTCATTGGGAGAGGAACTGCTGGTTCCTAGAAGTCTACAAATAGCAATAGCCCTCAAACCCATAGCTGCATTCCCCCAGGAATTATCCAGAACCAAAGACAAAATACAGAACGATGACAGAAACAATGTAATTTATAAAATTAACTAACAACTGCAACCAATTATATGTGGGACAAACATCACGTCAATTAAAAACCAGGATCCATGAACACCGTCTGGCAGTCACACGCCACAATTCCAAATCCCTAATCTCTACCCACACTGACACAAAACAACATCAATTCGATGGGAACAATACAAGAATCATCGGCCATGCTACTAACCGCCACACTCATGAGTTCATCGAAGCCTGTTACTCCACAAGCAATTTCATAAACAGACACATTGACCTACAATCAGCCTATGAACCCCTCAGAATTCAAATCAACTGCACAGCAAACCCATGCAAACCTTCCCCAACTAGTACTTCACCTCCCAATTATCCTTACCTGATGTAACCTCCCCATCACAAAACTCTCACTGGTGACCCAACCTGATCCATCACAAGATCCACAAGAACCATCACAAGAACCTGACCTGATGTGACCCTCACCTGATGTGACTTCACCATCACAAGGCCTACTGACCACACAAAGCTCTTATAAACAAAAGAACACTGACACTGACATCCCCTAAATTCTACTAAAGATTTACCTAGCCTGGTAACTAAATGTTTAGAAACCAACCCACAAGCTCAGAGAACAAACCTCTGCCCTCAAAACCAGCATCTTGCATGACATTTGTTTGGATTCCACCAGTGAAATGATCTGACTCATGGAACCATGGACTGATTCTGGACTATTTTTCTGCACATTCCTGTTAAAAAGGTAACCATTTAGGTAAACTCTTTTCTAGGCCATACAACAATCATCATAGCATAGGATTTCATTTAGCTCTAAATATGAATATTGATTTATACAGATTATTTCCATCAGAATAATTTAATGGAATTAACCTTATTTGGGTGGCTAAACAGATAACATCTTTAAATTCACTGGTTTGTAATAATAATATGCCACTTTTATTGGAGAAAATACATAAAGGCAGTAGTAATCTAAGAAGAAACCTAGATAAACTGAATTGGATTTTGCATAAACTTGTGCCTAGCAGGCACATGTTTAAAACGCTGCATTTCTTACAACTATACATGGTATTATTAATTATATCTAATAACTAGATCCTTTCATTTCAAGAAATAGTCCCAGTGTAGCATTTTATTGAGACTCCATGTTTCAGAAAATAATAAAATTATTAAATTTTATTTTCAAGATATGAAAACTGTATAAATGATTTAGATAAAAATTAAAAACAGAAGTATTAATCTTAAGTAAAGCTGAAAGCTTGAGTTAACACTACTTTCAATTGTGCCCATTAACAAAAGCTTTAATATAGATTTGCACAGCAAGCCAAATATTTTCTAGTTTAGAAATAATGAGGCAGCTACTATTATTTTAACCCCTTTGGAGTATAATTGGCTGATAAGGTTTTGAAAGATTGCAAGGTCTAGGACAAAAAGATTAGCTTTAGTCTCTTCAGATCAAAATTGGAAGCTAATTAAATAACATTGTTGTAAAAGGAAAGGTCTACCATATTTTTATTCATCCTTAATTTTCCTCTCCTGAGAAAAACAAGTATTTTTTTTTCTTTCCAGTTATTTGGATATTAACATTAAGGCCACCAAATACATAAAAGGAATGGCATAATGATGTATCAATTAAAGTTGGACAACATAAAATTAAATAAATTATATCCAGCTTATTTCATGAGGTAAGGTATTTTTACTCATGATTTGCTGAACAAGCCATAATAACTTCATTCATACATATCACCAAGCCACTAAAAGCAGTATTTTTGACCAAGTCAGAACTTGGTATTAGGAAATAATTCTTTCCAACTGCAAAAATATACTAGCACCCTGGTATTCTGAGCAGAAGTGATGATAAAATGATAAGGTAAGAGATAGTACAAGATTCAGTCAACATACAAATCACTCTTTTTTCAGTCATAATCTTGCAACTGTGCAAGTATTCTAAAGAACAGGACCCCAACCAGTCTTTAGGTTATCTTCCAAAAGCTATTTTATCTTTACCGATCAGGATTAGAATATTTTCATATTATCTTATTTCAGCTACTTTACATGTGCCTTACATTTTAAATTGCATTTATTATTACTGTATCTATTTTATAAACAACTCATTAGGTTTTAAGCCACTCTGCAGAAGCTTTCATTTGGAAAAATAAGTGCATTAACATATATAAATAGGTCCTACAACACCGATTTTACCAGGAGTAATATCTTGTATAATGAAAACACTTGTTCCACCTTCCAAAGCACAAATACATCAATTAAGTGTATCTGCATTTGCTCATTAATATCCTGCATTTGCATGTCTTAAAATGAAGATATGATAGGAAAATAGGAACTCTCTTCAAACGAAGGCAGTATAAAAATACAATGAAAAAATATTTTGCACAGGTATAAGCTCCAATATTAAATAGAATTGCTACAAAAATATCTGAATAGCAGATTTCTGGATGACATAACTTGTATTGTTCAAAATTCTCAGATTATATCTAAAGCTCACATTAATTTAATAGCTTATGGAAGATGGAAATTACGATGGAAATTAATCTTAGAATAAAATATAAATGTATCTTTTACCACAAAAAGATTGAAAGTTGTTTCTTTAGAATCTTTCCTTTTCTTTCTTTTCTTTTCTTGATACTGTTATATGGATAAAGCAATGTTGGAACCATTATGTTATATAAGTCAGTGGCTAGCAAGCAGAAAGGATGTGTTAACTGGCACATCATATGCTTTATTTTAGCTTCTATGCTATTTAAGAGTGTTATAAACAATTTGGATGAAGGACTTAGAAAATACAGTATAATATAAAAAAAAAAATTGCAAACAATAAAACATTGTATCCAGTTCTGTATACCAGATATTGAGAAACTGAAGTGCGGTCAAAGAAGACAACAAAAAGAGTAAGAAGACTGGAAAGAAAAACATATGAAAAACCGAAGCACTAGAGAAAAGAGGACTGTGAAGAGGTATGACATCAATCTTCAAGTAACATGCAGTAGATACTGCAGAACTGTCAGAG